AAAGAGTTGAGTTTAAGAAATAACGTTCACAATGAAAAATTGAGTTTCAAGACTCAGCCTTCCGAACTGGCCGTTTCTCACCTCTGCACCTAGCTACACCCTTTATACTACGTCTCTATGTCAAATCATTTTTTTTTTTGTTCGTTGGATGTGAATTTCCGTGAACTTTTGTCTAAATATCTTCCTTTATATTATTATTTTTTTATAAAAATATCTCTTTTTTAAAAAGTTAAATTCATGAAATTCATGGATTTTTTATTATTTTTTTAATACGGAGGATATATTCTTGGTCTGAAAAGTAGCGATAGGGGTTTGAAATTTTGAATCCGTATCAAAAGACTGGTCTCTTCGTGTTGCCTTCAGTCCTTCTCTTTCCTGATGTATCTGATCCGAACGGGCGGCTTTATGAAATTTAATGAATAATTTATTACTATTGAAAATGTCCATCGATACCTATACTTAGAGAGGATCTGCCCTTGATCTTAGACATATGCTTGATGTCATCTTTAAATATCTGTGTCAGGTTTCAGTCAAACTATGGGCGATGATGTGTATACATGCATGATGGTGTTTTCAGATTCAGAGAAATTTTTGAATGCACTATACCACGTCATCTATATTTTATTTAATAAAATTATATCAATTTAATTAAAAAAAATCATGTGTCATTATTTTAAATAACTTTATTTTTAAAAAAATATTTATTTAATTTTTTACCTTTTCTCAACCCTTTGCTTTTATTAATTGCAATATTAATTTATATTTACAATTATTTTAATGACATATTTTTATTGAATAGAATATAATGTCATATATATAACTAATAATATATTTTTGCAATAGTGCATGGGTTCAGCTTGCTGACCACAAAAATGTAATGGGTTAGATTGGAGAAAATGAATTCATTTAAATGCGAGATAATTTTGGCTTGTCATTACATATCTTGAACTTGGCTTTTTTTTTTTTAATGATAAAAAATAAGTTGAGAAGACAAACCCTCACTTACTTGGTTACACTTCTTAGCTAAATTTTAAAATTGGTTTCATTGAATTATTTGAAATTCAAAACACATAAACTAGTGAGTTAGATAATCAAATTTTAAAAGTTCTATAAAAATAACTTCAATAAAACAGATCTTAAAAATAATTTCGTGTAATATACTAAAAAATTAACATACCTCCCATGAATTGAAAGTAAATTTATAAATGAGTTCAGGCCAACAAAAATTTATAAATGAGTCATATCATGTATTACTGATAAATGTCGATTATATTTTTTTGTCATATTAAATAATAATATTATTAAATTGCATGAAAAAGAATAATGAAATTAATAATTAGAGCAAAAATCAATGGAATAATAGCAGATTAATATCCTTTTTTATATTTCTATTGTTGAAATTGTTTTTATAACTTATGCTTTGAGTAAAAAAAAATAAAAAAACTAAAGCATGTATGAAGCACTGGGCATTGTCTAATTGCAGAATTTTATGGTTTAAAAGATATAAAATTTATTTTTTAAAACAAAATTGGATTACCTTATCATGCATGTTTTGATGATAAAATAGATAAACATTGACGTGATAAATTATATTTAACTAAATTGTGGGTTATGTGATCTGCACAAAATTTAAAGTGTCTCAAGAAAGATTTGTTGCATGTTGTTTTGATGACCCCTGATAGTTGCGATTGCAAAGTTTTTTATTTAAAATCTGTATTGTATTTTTTAATAATTTAAAAGGACTTTATTTATTTAAATAATTAGTTTTTAAGGGAAAATGTGATTTTTTAACTGCCAAGAAAAAGGAAGGAAGTTGTAATTTTTCAAAATTTAAAAAATTATAAAAAATATATTTTTCAAGCGAGTTAGCAAAAATACAACCCCTTAAAATGCAAGTTATACTAGCCCATCCCACCAAGTTTGGAACACGCAAGTTGGCTTGTATCATTAACTTTAATAATATAAAGTGTCGAGTTCATACAAGAATTTTTTTCAATCTTCTACAGTCACACATGAATTGATTTATTGTATTTAAATGGTGATAACTCCTTCTACAAAAACTAGTGCTTGTTGGTGTATAAACCCCTTTTCTAGGGGAGGGAATTTTATTGAAAAAAAAATTTTATACAAAAGATTTTAATATTTTTTTCAACTTTAACCCTAAAAATACAAGGCTCAAACAAGTGGTCCGTTGACCTGGCTTATATTGAGGGGTTTTGAGAAAAGTTAGATTAAGAATAAAATTTTAAATGTATACATATAGTTTTTTTTTATTCTATCATAAGATGTTTTTCAATTATTTCACATGAATCAATAAATAATAATTAATTCATTAAATATATCTTAAAATATTTTTTTTTAAATTTTATCCATGTTAAAAATAAAAAGAGAGAGACATACACCATATGCAATGAGTCATAAAATTAAATTTATATTTGTAATAAGAATAAAATTAAAAAATAATAATAAATAACTCTTCATATGTTTTAACGTAAAGGCTACGAGTTCATTTAAAAAGTACTTTATAATAAACATCTAAGTGTGTGGATATGCATTATGCGCAGGTGATGTAATCTTTTTTTTTTTTTTTCTTGGTATATATGATATGGTCTTTTATAAATTTCGAAAATGGGTATTGAAAAGATGGAACATAAGTAGCGACAAATTTTCAATTCTTTTTCAGGACCATCCTTTTTTAAAATTTCAAAATATTTTAACCTTAGTATGTGATTTGTTTGATGAAATATCCTTAATTATGATTAATGTTTTTAGAGGATGTTAGAATATCATATTCTGAGCGAATAAAAACAAATTCCAAAAGTAATGATTTTTTAAAATAAAAACGATAAAATATGTGGAATGCCACAGAGGATTATTGGGCCCCATGCTAATAACCTGGGTAATATAGGCGTGATGTGAAATTCATATATGTGAGTCATTTTCTTATAAAAAAAAAATTATGCGAATCTAATTATCATTAATTTATTTTTTTCAAGATTTTATTATTATTCTCGTTTCACGGAATGAGCCACCTCATGGGTCTTATAGTTATAGATGAGGGGTTTGTTTCAACTTATGTTATGCAAAAATCACTTTTTTTAAAAAAAATTATTTTATAAGTTTTAGTAATGATTATTTAAACTTTTAAATATAATCAGAATATTAAAAAAATAAATTTTTGATTGTTTTGAGGAACTATTTTAAGTAACTTCTAAAAATAATTTAATATGATATATGAAAAGACATACTTTAAAAAGGGAAATGTGCGATGTCATGAAATTTTGAAATAATTAAATAATAAATTATTTTTATAAAACAAAATTAAAGAAGACATAATAAAATTTAAAAATAACTACCTAATAATCACCTTTTTATTATTGTAATCAAATATGAAAAAAAATGTTTGCTTTTAATAAATTCTCTATAAAATAAATATTTATCTATAAAATCTCTAATCTATATAAAATATTTATTTTTAATCTAAAAAAATGGGAAAACGATGATTTCTTGTAAAATTCATATTTCATGATTAAATTATATATATATATATATATATATGAGTAATGATAGAGATTGGGCCGGTATCACGAAGGTCTTGGTGTCACCAATGGGCTTGTTCCAGCCCAACACTTGTTCCTCAATATATCATCACATACTCCAATTTCATGTGATCATCACATCCAATGTAATTCGTGAAGGGAAAATATGATTTTTTATCTTTGCATTTTTTTAAGAAAATTATTGATCTAGTCATTGAACTTTGACTCAAAACAACATAATCCCATACTCAGATCAACTTAATCCTTATAATTTATTGACTTGGTATAACTTTTTTTTATAATTTCTGAACTCAATAAACCATAAGATTTGAATTATATTGGTCAAAATTTAGATATTAAATCGATAATTAAAAGAAAGTTTAGGGACTAAAAGTTATATTATTCTGTTTATAAAGATGATTTTGCATACTGGTAGGTGAATAGCTATGGAAAATCCATTTTAATATATCATCACATTTCAACAGGGTGTCACCCTAATACACATTAAGAAGAAAATTTGTCATGCACAATGACAATTTTGAAAAACAATGGTTGTGGGCACCACTTCCTTTCCAATCAATAATTATCTTCCTCTGTACCATGTCTAGAAACATCAAATAACACTATGATTCTACTGTTAATGATTTAAAACTGGATTACATTTTGCATTACAAGCAAGATATTCAATGTACACTTCTGTTGTTGAGGCACAGGTCGTCATAATGTTTTATTTTGTCAACACCTAATTTTTTTTACAAAGCATGCTAATCTCAACAATCAAAGTATGGTTTCTCTTATTGCTGCAGCATAGTTTGCATCGGGAAACAGAAAATTATCTTTGTCAGTAGCAGAATAATGGAGCATGTTCTGCGAAAAAAAAAAAAAAGAAAAGAAAAGAAAGGAGAAACGAAAACGAAGATGAATTGTCCGTTTTAATACTACATTGAACAGGAATGAAATAGTCACAAACAGGGACTGAGAATTTAACAGCACCAACATTTGATCTGAGAAGAACTTAGTTGCCAATATCTGTTCATCACTGTCTCGACCAAAAAGGAAAACAATAAATTTTTAATGCCATGAAGACTTGGAAGATACGCCATAAACTTAAAGTGACTTTTAGAAAACATAAAATAAAAGCAACGACTTTAAGTTAGTAAAGCTAATAGTAAATGGCGGAGGCTACTCCAGACTATTTAACATGTTTCATTCAAACACGTCAAGTATCACCAAATCACACAGGGGGTTCTAAACTCCTGTTGCTTCTGATGTAAAAGTTAACTACATTTTGCATTGTAAGCAAGACGGTCAGTTCATATAATGAGAAGTGGCCATGTTATAATTCTATAGTCAAGACCTAATTTTGACTTGGCCAAGTTAGCAAGAGTACAAGAATAGAAGTCTAGTGTCTCTATCTCAAGTTCTCAACTCATTCTGCACTTGGAGACATAGAAGTTAATCTATACCATCACCAAAACAGCAGAGTAACGTGAAGGATAAAACTCTACGGACATGCTATCTTTCATAAGCATCATTGCTTATATACTAGTCCCTTCTCTAAGAATTTCGACGGCAGTTGATTCCATTGTTGTATCCCATAGCATCTCGGATGGCATGACCTTAGTTTCTCAAGAAGGAACCTTTGAACTTGGATTCTTCAGTCCTGGAAGCTCCAACAAACGTTATTTGGGAATATGGTACAAGAAGATTCCAATTAGAACCGTTGTTTGGGTAGCGAACCGCCAAACCTCAATCAATGGCACTTCTGGTATCCTAATCCTAAACAATACAGGCAGTCTTGTCCTCAGCCAAAATGGCACAGTGGTCTGGTGTACAGCACCTCAAGAACATGCAAAGAAACCAGTGGCCCAGCTCCTTGATTCTGGCAATCTTGTGGTGCAAGATGAGGAAGATGCAAACCAAGAAGCCTATTTATGGCAAAGCTTTGATTACCCATCTGATACAATGTTGCCAGGTATGAAGATAGGGTGGGACCTCAGAGATGGTCTGAATAGACGTCTCACAGCATGGAAGAGCCCAGAAGATCCATCTCCAGGAGATTTTTCGTGGGGTATAGAGATCTATAATTATCCTGAATCAGTTATGTACAAGGGAATTGAGAAGTACTACAGACCTGGACCATGGAATGGCCTGTATCCAAGTGGCACACCAGAACTAAAGCCTAACTCTTTGTTTGATTTCAACTTTGTCTTTGATCAGGATGAGGTCTACTACACATACACTCTCAGAACTAACTCTTTGGTTTCAATATTAGTTATGAACCAGACCAGTTATGTTCGTCATCGCTATGTGTGGGTGGAAACAGATCAAAACTGGAAGATTTATGCATCACGTCCAGGAGATTACTGTGACACCTTTGGCCTATGTGGAGCAAACGGGAATTGTATCACCACTGATTCTCCAGTATGCCAATGTTTAAGAGGGTTCAGGCCTAAGTCACCAGCAACATGGATTTTAATGGACTGGTCTCAAGGGTGTGTTCGCAAGAAACCCTTAAGCTGCAAGTCCAAACGAAAGGATGGATTTCTCAAAGTGAGTGGCTTGAAACTTCCAGATACTTCACATACTTGGTTAGATCAGACTATTGGGCTAGAGAAATGCAGGACCAAGTGCTTAAATAACTGTTCTTGCATGGCCTATACAAATTCAGATATTAGAGGGAAAGGAAGTGGATGTGCCATATGGTTTGGTGACCTAATTGATATTAGACAAATGCCTGTAGGTGGGCAGGATCTATATATACGAATGGACGCTTCGGAATTAAGTAAGCAGTACAACAAGGATTCATTTTCTTGAAACATTCAAATAGCTTCCTTCATATGCATATTAACCTCAGCTTTTTGTTTGGTTCAATTAGCTGAAGAGGCAGAACAAGGTCATAAGAAGTTAACAAAGACAATTATTGCCAGCATTGCCGTTGCAAGTTCGGGGATGCTCATACTCGTGTGCTTTTACATCCACAAAGTCTGCAAAAACAATAATGGTAAAAGGATCCCTGCAAAGTTTTTGGACAATATTAGTTTCAGTTCTTTATGTATTTGCTATCAAATTCTATAGTTAAAGTATTGTACATAGCTATTTTTATGTCAGTACTAAATTGTTGAATCTTAAAAAGAAATCTCCCCCATCTAAATTATACTGAAACATATGATAGTAAACACTAAGGAATTACATACTTCGCCCCCAATGTTTTATGTTTCTTTGCAGAAATGTGACTATTATGAAATAACTCCTGAATACCATTATATATCTGATTTTGTGAAATTTGTTCTTTGCATGCCATATCGTTCTTCTTTTGTTGTGATGTGTACATTTTGACTATGTCAACAAGTAGTACTTACCCAGTTATGCTTGAAACAAAGCTGAAACCCTTTTCTATTTTGTCAGATGAAGTTAAAAATGTGCATGAGGATGAGAACAATGAAAAACATTCTGGAGATCTGGATCTCCCATTGCTTGACTTATCAACTATTGTCAATGCCACTGGTAACTTCTCTATTAACAACAAAATAGGAGAAGGTGGTTTTGGACTTGTATATCGGGTAAACTTTAATGTTTCACTAAAAAGATTGAAAAAAAATGTTGTGCTAATACTGTAAAGATTATCTCAGCATGTAATTATTTTGGATATGCAGGGAAAATTGGTAAATGGGCAAGAAATTGCAGTGAAGAGGCTTTCAAAAAGTTCAGGACAAGGAATGACTGAACTCAAGAATGAAGTAAAACTGGTCGCAAAACTTCAGCACCGGAATCTTGTAAAGCTTCTAGGATGTTGCATTGAAGGAGAAGAACAAATGCTGGTCTATGAATACATGTCCAATAGCAGCCTAGACTCCTTCATTTTTGGTATGAAATTAGTATACTAAGAAAAATGATTGTGGATGTGATACTTTAATGATCTAGGTGCACTTAACTGCTTAAGATGCTTGAACTTTGAAAAACTTGCAAACTAATTTGGATAATTTATTCATACTGAATGGAACAGATGAAACAAAAGGCAAAGTTCTGGATTGGTCTAAACGCTACCACATTATTTGTGGCATTGCTCGAGGCCTTTTATATCTTCATCAAGACTCTAGATTGAGAATCGTTCATAGGGATCTCAAGGCAAGTAATGTGTTACTTGATGACATGTTGAACCCAAAGATATCTGATTTTGGAATGGCAAGAACTTTTGGTGGGGACCAAACTGAAGGAAGCACAAATCGAGTAGTAGGGACCTAGTGAGTGTCTTACTAGCAATTAAACTCCGTGTTCTTCTCTATGGTATCCTTGTCCATGACCTTTTTGTTACTATTATGTCTTGTAGTGGCTACATGGCACCAGAATATGCTATTGATGGGGTATTTTCAATAAAATCTGATGTCTTCAGCTTTGGTATCTTGCTGCTGGAGATAATATCCGGAAAGAGAAATAGAGGATTTTATCATGCAAACCACAGCCAAAACCTTATCGGTCATGTAATGACTTGAGATATACTTGGTTTATGTGTATGAAGATTTTGTCATATTGAATGTGACTTTAGCTTGTTTGTGCTGTAGGCATGGAGAAAATGGAAAGAAGGCAATGTTTTGGAACTGATTGACAAGAACATTGAGGGATCATGCATTGCATCAGAAGTGGTAAGATGTGTCCATATTAGCCTATTATGTGTGGAAGAGCATGCAGAGGATAGGCCAAGCATGTCCTCAGTGGTTCTAATGCTGCCAAGTGAAATGGAGTTGCCTAAGCCTAAACAACCAGGTTTCTATTTGACCAAGTTTTCAATGCAAGCAAATTCTTCCCAACCAGAATTTGGAACATCCAATGAGATAACCATTACCCAATTAATTGCTCGATGAATCATTCTTAGCTAGTTTTTTTTTTTTTTTTAATAGTTATTGAAAGGAACAATATACGAAACCATACAATTTTAATATGTACACAGTACACAAATACCTTCCGTATTAAGAATTAGTTTTGGCCAGCAGTTGGAAGACGATATCATCATCAAACATGAACAATTGTTCTGGTAAAGAGAGGTTAAACTGAGGTTGACTGGATTATAGCTTATGATTTAGTCATTGAACAATCTCAGCACTCTCAAGTTCCCTCTCTCTTTTTTTTGCCTTTTGAAAGAACTTGTATCTAAATGTCTCTGGTTTGAAGATTTGACCTGAAAATGCTGTCGTAACCCTCGGAATTTCATGGTATCTTCCATTCAAACTCATCACACTCACCACTGAGAAAGTTGTGATAAATATCTCTAAATAAATATTGTGATAAAGAATGTCAATTGTTAGTTGCTGCATCACATCCATTGATACCAACTTTATTAGAGTGAAATGTCTCATGACATAGAGAAGCACTAAAACTGATCACTTTTTTTTTTTTTTTTTGCATATTTATTTCAACTTGGAACTCATGAGAATTTTTTTTTTTTTTTGCTTTAAAGGTTTCTATTGGTTTATGAAGAGAAGAACTTTTTCATATGGTTTACATGGAGAGGAATAATCCTTGCCTGAATCTATAACTCTAAATATACATGTACACAAATGATTTATCATAGAAGTTCATTTAATCTAATCTATTGAACTTAGCGCATCCCATTTATTTGAAGGCCTCGAATCACTAAAATTAAAATTTGACCTCGATGTTATAACAAAATAAGAAACAAAATAAATCCATATAAATTATACAGTATGTAATTTTTGAGTATTATAATTATGACCATTCAATATGAGATTTTTTTTTTGGAAGATATATGACAAAAATTAACGATTCATGGATGAAGTAGGTTTTGGAGTGTATCTTTGAGTATGGAATATTTTTCGTCCTTATTATGGGGTATAGGATATAGATATATCTTATATTAGTAGGTTTTTTTTTTATACAATCGGAAAAGAAAGTAAAAAATTCATATTATTAAATTAAAAGTCTTGACACTTGAATAACTAAAACTTTACTCCTTCATATCTTTGATATAAGAAAAAGTTAATTAGCTTCGTGCTTATTTTTTATAGTAATTATATCCTTAAAATTATTAAAAAATATATAACTTTTAATTTCACTCTTCTTTAAAATTAACCACCATAGTAAATTATCTTTTATAAATTCAAATAATAATAAATAAACAAGAGATGAAATTTAAAAAAATATTAATTACTCTAATTCTCCTTTATATTAAGATAAAAAAGCTTTTAAAGTTTGTGTTATATTAAGTACTAGAGTGAGTGTTTTAAAAAATTAAGATAATTTTTGTTCTCGCTGCAAGTTTTATATGCTTTTGAGAAATAAAAATATTATACCAATAAAAGTTGGATCTATCCAAAAGAGTTGGTCCCTCACAATATAGGGAATCAAGCTTTGAATTCCACATAAGAAATATGCCATATTTAATATTTAATTTGTCTCGAATAGAATTACCTTCAATGAAAAGATATTTATGAGATAAAAAAAATGAAATAAAATGTTATGTAATTTCAACAATATAAAAACACAATTTCTCTAAAATATTTTTTGGCCACCGATCTCCTTAAATTTAAATTGAGGTGAGATTGTTAGAGGAGAGGATTCTCTCCTCCCCCCTTCCCATTCTCTTTCTCTTCTCTTTCTTTGTTTTTTTTTTAAACCATTAAGATTGACATTTTGGATAGTGGAGATTTAATTTTTTTATAAAATATTTTTTATTTAATTTTTATTGAAGTTTTAAACTATTTAAATTAAATTTTAACCATTTAAATCTATTCAAATTTAAACTATTGAAATCTTGATCCGGACCTCTTCTCATCAGTTTAATATCATCCGACGCAAAAGTCATTGGTCCACGTGATATACTAATAGGGGTGTCGTGTGTTTGGGTTTGTGCTCTCAAAGTTTTGCTAATCAAGACTCCATTTTTACGATGATCTTTTCATTCTTATTGCATCCGATTTGCATTTGTAATTGTTCCAATCGTTTTCTTTTGGGTTTTTGATTAAAACTGAAGAGTTCTAGCTAATTTCTTCTCCATCCTCCCTTCCTCTATTTTTACCCATTTTCGTTTAAATCATCTTGGGCTAGGTTACTGGTTTGTGAATGTGGATTCTGAAATTATTATTCCCCTTGTCAATTGACATCAATCTGTATCTACCCAGCCATTCAGTTTTTCCTTTCTTGCAACTGGTTATCTTTTTTAAACCATGGTTGGTCCTAATAGAACATATTATAAACACTACAAGCTAATCGATATGTAAAGACGTATTATAAACACTAACAATAGGTGTTGGTCCTGATAGAATGGGTGGTTACTTAAATATGAAATATCGGATTTGAATTTGTGTAAATGCAAAAAATGTCTTTAAGAGAACTATCTTTAATTAGTTTTGATAATGCTCGAATCTGACTCAGTAATAGCCATATAAAGAAAATGTATTATAAACACTATTCAGAACATGGTATCATGACTAAGTGCAAATAAAACAGTAGTTCATCACGCTAAACATGGAAAGTTCTACACTGGCATAAAGCTGAAAACATATTTTCCTACATAACAGAAGTTAATTCATAAACATAAGTTGCTTCAATTATTGCAGAATCTACCTTATTTTAAAACTTGTAATACACTAAAAGAATTGAAACTCTTTGTTTTGTGTGTCTGCGTGTGTGTGTGTGGTTTTTTTTTTTTTTTTTTTTGGATGCTGGCATGGTATTGGATTAGACATGTGATTTTAAGAACCAAAGATGTAACCATGCTTCCGTTAGGGTTCAAGCTAAGTATCTCTCTATGTGTGATTTTTTCAATACAAAAAATTTAAACATATAATCTTATTAACAGATATCAAGTTTTTTTCAGTTGTTCTATTATTTTGAGGAAAAAAATACAGCGGACTTGTGCAAATGATTTGTTCTATTTTTTTAGTTTATTTATGCAAAGTTCAATTTGAGGTAATAGTATTTGTTTTTTTCATACCAATGAGCTAATAGTGTTTACAAACTATGAGTATTAAAGTGTTGTTTCCTATATTTTTTATATTTTAATTGATGTTGATGATACCCGACAATCAATACAATATATAGAAGAAAAATAATTCATTATTATTTTACTATTTATTTTTTGGAAACACATACTAACTATTTGTACAAAAATTTCTAATAATTAATGGACATTAGTCTTAGTGAATGATTACGCGATCGTGTTTAAGCATGAAATTTTGGATATGAGTTCGTCTAACCAAGTAGTGTCCGAAACATATCGCTAGTGGAGATTCATAAATCATATTAAAATATGTCTCTCTATAAATGTTCATGAATCATATATTAAGAGATTTCTTTTTATAAAGATTCATAAATCACAGTTTTCATGAATCATAATAAGAGAGAATGTCTTTTTACAAAGCTTCATGAATCACATTAAGAGATTTCTTTTTATAAGATTCATATGTCACAAAATTTTTATAAATCATAAAATAAAAAAAGAGAAATGTCTCTTTAGCCTTTACAAAGATTCGTGAATCATAAGATTTACAATTAATGAATCATATTAAGACATGTCTCTTTATAAATATTCAGGAATCACACAGTTCGTGAATAATATCGAGAGAATATTTTTATAAAGATTCATATATCACAATTTCATGAATCTAATAAGAGAGAAAAGTCTCTTAACAAAGGTCCATGAATCATGAGATTTACAAATATCACTAGATCATGTCTCTTTAAATAGTGATGTTATTTTAGGATTTACATTTCATTGCAACAAACAAAGATAAAAAGAAAACGCAACCCTCACCATCATTTAAAACGCACGCCTTTTTTTTTGTTTTTTTTTTTTGGTGCCAGAATTTAAGACACAACATTTATTATTATGGCTTTTTTTTAAAAGGAAAAAATTGTCCCTCCAACTGTCAAAAAACGTAGGTCATTGATACAAGCCCAAGATGCAACTAGACCAAAAGCCCAACCCACTAATGATTGATCTGCACATTCTCTTATCTTTATGTGTACGATGGAATTTGAGTTCTCTAATAAAATTAAAATATTGAAAACATTAAAAAGTCCTCATGACAATGTCATAATTATTTTAACAACCTGTTGTATGCCCCCTCAAAAAATATATCACATAATTTAAGAGATCTAATACTATTATTACGTGATCAAAGGACAAAGTGACTAATAACTATATAATAATCTGACCTCAATTATAATATATGCTTAATATAATAGAGCAAATTAATCTCTAAATTATAAGTTCAAGAGCATCTGAGGTTCTAAATTTATTTTAAGTGCAATATTTTTTCTTAACTTTCAAAAATGGTGTGAGTAGAAAATGATAAAAAAATGACATCAAAAATTACAAAAAAAAAGGATAAATAAATTTTTTGTTATTTTTTAAAATAATATGGGGTCTTTTATTATAATTTTTTGGTCCTCTTATATAATTTTTGAGGTTTCTATCATTTTTGATAAACTAATGTTAATCAAAGTTAACTTTTGTTAATAATAATAGTTAAATTGCATTATTTTAAAAGTTGAAGGGAAACATTGTATCAAAAATAAATTTTGGATCCCCAATACTCTTAAACTTATAAGTTAATGGCCAATTTGTCATTTAATCCTATACTTAATTGCATTAAATTTAGCCAATTCACTGGTTGAATGATTATACGTACTAAAGACTATATATGCATCTGCCTTATCATAAAGACTGCATATCATGCCATATGAGCTGATCGAAAATCCTTTATTCATTTTTTTAAAGGGAATGATGAAGCCCAAAGATCATTAAAGTTCTATAGGGTTGGTAATGAATAACAACAACATAGTTAAATAAGGCACATGTCAAAGGTGGCTCCGGTTGGTACTTGACAATCGAGAGGCTTAATTCCTAATATATATGTGTGTGTCTGTCTCATTATTTGACCAAATTTTAATTCAGATTGCTTCACCTTAAGCATGAAAGTATCTTCGAATTATTTCATGTCATTTAGTCTTATCCTCCTCAAGACGTAACTCCTAGCTAGCGTGAAGTATAGGGTATAGCTAATTAAAGTTGACATTTTGCTTTGGCAGTTTCAGTCATCTTAAAAGACTTGTGAAAGAATATTGGTTTATTATATAAGGATTGATGTGAACTTCTCAACAGGAAGCTCATAAATTTAAAAAAAAATTGTGTCAAAATTCTTGAATTGAATTATATGATAATCCTACCAGAA